TGATTTGTTCGTGTGTTCTTTAAATTCGTTGACTTCCTTGATCATGTTTATGACTGTTCTTTTAAATTCAGTGCCCTGGGTTATCTCTAGGGGGTTCTTGCACGGGCAAGAACCCAGCACTCTCTGACAGTCTTCTCTCTGGTCTCTTCTTAATCACAGCTGATTCTTTAGCCTTAGCTGACCAGAACCCACAGATTCTCAATTCAAATATCATACAAAAGCCCTGATAGTCTCTGCTTCCCTTTGAAGCTTCACAAGCCAGGCCTCTATCGTCCACAACTCTTTCAGCATAACTGTTCCAAGCTCCACAGCAACAAACTCTAAGCACTCGCTGGCTTTTCCAGCCCAAAGTTTCAAACACTCGCACAATCCTCCCCAAAATATGTCAGGTCTGTCATAGCAATACCCTACTCTCAGTACCAATTTCTGTTCTAATTTGTTTCTCCATTCCTGTAACAAAAATATCCTGATCAATACCAACTTGGGGAGGAAAGGGTTTATTTATCTTACATCTCCTGGGTCACAGTTCATCAGGGAGCACAAGGTAGGAACTCAGGGCAGGAATCTAGAGGCAGGAGCTGAAGCACAAGCCATGGAGGAACTCTGCTTACTGGTTTGCTCCTTGGCCCCTGCTCAGCCTGCTTTCTTATACAACATAGGCCCACTTGCCCAGGGATAGCACCACCCACAATGGGCTGGGCCCTCCCACATCACTCAATGATCAAGAAAATACTGCACAGACATGGCCACAGGCCAGTCCAATGGAGGAAACTCCCCAACTGAGGTTCCCTTTACCCAGGTATGTCAAGTTGACACTAAAGCTGTCCAGCACACTGGTCCACTGAGGGTTATCTTGGGAAAGGCCAAAGAGAAACTTCCAGAACTGTCTCTACCTAGTCTAATAGCAAACCAAAAACAATACTGCATTCCTGGAGGGATTCTTCAAGATTAGTGCCAGTATCACATCACCATTCAGCTAGGCAGAAGACAGATGGATTCTGGGAGAATGACCATGACCTCACAGGCATTGCCACATGGTAGCTCCTGTATGAGATAAGAAGTAGGCTAGCATAGGGAACAGCTTAGTAATCTGGGACTTCACTTGGTTTGGGCCATGCACACATCCATGTTCTAATGACACCCTTGGAAGCCTGAAACCCTTACCTGCATGCACAGTTCTCTAAACAAAGTACCTAGCCACCTGTTAGCAGCCTAGGGCCCCCATCTGCACTGAGTGCACACACACACACACTGGACAATGGAATTAATATCTCCTCCCCCTTAATGAGCATTAAACTTAGATTCTATTCCATCACATTCCACCAGTTATGTCCAGTAAGAGAGCAGGAAAGCCAATCCAGCCTTAACTGGTTTGGGGTGGATACAAAATGAGGCAAATTATGTCCTCAAAGTGAAAATTCAGGGAAAATCCCGTTTACCATATTATGCCTGTGCATAACTGGACACACCTATGATTAAGATCAGACCCATTATGAGAAGGGACCTGTGCACTAGAGAAATGGTTGTGCAACTTAATGTGTCAAGCAAAACAGAGAGCCACCAAACCATGCCCCTAGTAACCACACTTCTCATCTTGAACCCCATAAAAGGAAGCCCCAGACAGTAATGGGAGCCCCTGAGGTCTTTCATTCATGTTGCCTGAGTCAAGCTTGACTGTATTCCTTTCTAACTGGTACTGTTTCACTTTGGAGTTTCTCTGATACTTTGCAATCTGTGTAGGCCTCTATTTTATTTTTTTAAAAGTATATTTTACTTATTCATTTATTTGACAGATTAAGCTGCACAACCACTTCTCTACTGCACATACATGCTATGACACACATGTGGAAGTCAGTGGACACCTTGTTGGATTTGGTTGTTTCCTTTTACTATGTGACTTCCAGATATTGAACTCAGGTCATTAGGCTCGGTGGCAAGTGCCTTTACCTACTGAGCTATTTTGCTGGCCTTCCCTTCATTCCTGAATAACAAGACACCAGGAACCTGGAAATTCGTAGTTCAGACTCCAACCACCAGTAATAGATGGAGAGGGGTGTGTCAAGGGGCACTTGCCTTCAATCCCAGCACTTGAGAGGCAGAGGCAGGCACAACTCTGAGGTGGAGGCCTGCCTGGTCTATATGTCGTGTTCCAGGCCAGCTGAGGCTACACAGAGACGTGTTGGTACACGCCGGGCGTGTTGGTACACGCCTTCAATCCCAGCACTCAGGAGGCAGAGGCAGGCGGACCTCTGTGATCAAGGTTATTTTGATATATCACAGTGAAAGATTTATCGTCCTCTTTTTTTTTTTTTTTTAAAAAAAAAAAAAAAAAAAAAAAAAAAAAAAAAAAAAAAAAAAACACCACACACACACAAAAAACACAAAAAGGTGTGTTTCCATTTGGGGGTATGGAGTAGGGGTTGGGCCCATGCTCGCCTCAAATGGGTAGCAATCTCCCTGCCTCAGCCTTCTGAGTGCTGTTATCACAGGTGTTAGCAACCATGCCTAGAGGATTTTGCGGTCTTCTTGTACTATTGGAGTTCAAACATGCTATACCACTCGCTTTACCCCAAGTCAAATGTGGTTTCATTGCTAGGCCCAAACACTACACCTGTTACCTGGCATGCAGCTGTTGACCTGGCAAATGTGTTTAGCCTGTTTTTATCAATAAAGGCCCCTAGAAGTAGTCTGTTTTCAACAATACACCTTCACTGTCTTTCTCGGGGTATTGCCTCTTCAGCCTCTGCCATCTTTTCCATTCTACCAGATACCACACTGCTCCATTCTATTGAAGACCACATGCTGACTGGATTGAGTAAGCAAGGACTGTTTCTTGAATTTTCCTGAGGAGATGTGCACAAATATCTACTCAACTCCAAATAGGGCATCCATTGACAGACCAAAGTAAAGATTCCACCAAAGTCCAACTTGGTAAACTAATGAGTAAGGCTCACTTACTAGGCGCATGGGTAAGACCTGAACAGCTGCGGCACGGAAAAGCCTCACCCCAGCCGGTGACCTCTCCACAGCTGTGTAAATGGAGTGCCCTTCAGTTAACCTTCCACTGTACTCCAGCTCCTCCCAAGACACCACAGGATTACCTGCAGCTAGGTCAGAATTACGCTCAGCTGGCAGGAAGACATTGGAGGGAGCGGCTGAGACATCAGGTGAGGTCTAATGACCCTCCCCATTTCCTCCAACAGGCCTGATCTTGAAGGTCTCTTGCAAGTAGTCATAGCTGCTCTGATGAAGATAGTTACATTCGGAGGACAGCATTCTACAAGTACCAAAAACTGTACTGGCAAGATATTTACTGGCAAGCTGGGCGTGTTAGTGCACACTTTTAGTTCCAGCACTTGGGAGGCAGAGACAGGCAGATCTTTGTGAGTTGGAGGCCAGCCTGGTCTACATAGTGAGTTCCAGCCCAGCTGAGGCTAAAGGGAGACCCTATCTCAAAGACAAAAAAAAAAACAAAAAACAAAAAACCAAGTTATTTACTTGCCAGGGAGTGGAAAATAAATCCAACAAAAATTCAGGAGGCTACTAATGTCAGCAAAATGTTAGGGGGTCTATTAGTATGGGACATGTGTGACACCTTTTGCAGGTTAGTTAGGTTGTTGTATCTGCTCCTCCTATAACCAAGAAAGAGGCACACCACTTAGTGGCCCTGACTTTAGGAGGTTACATAGTCTTCATTTGGATAGGTTACCTCAGCCCACTTTCCAAGGGCCTGACAAGCTGCTAGATTTGAGAGGTCTGCAGAAGAGAGAGCTCTGCAGCAGGTGTAGACAAGGCGTTCTGCATCTTTGGGCATAAGGGCCAGCAGATCTGATGGCTCTTGAAGTGGCAGTGACAGGTACAGAGCTGCCTGGAGCTTCTGGCAAGCCTCGCCAGTGAATTTATTGCAAACTTCTATTTAAGCTACTAAACGTTGAGGTAGTTTGTTACACAGCAGTACAACACTCTGGCCCATCCTGCCTTCACTGGGCGTTTCACAAGCTCCAACCTCCAAACACACAGGCCTTGTTTATCTAATCATGTGTAACTAGAATGGCAATGGCCCATTCTGGGGGAATAGTTAGAATTTGTGCCCATTATCCCACTCACTCACAGTGCTTTGCTCCCTTTTACTCTTCAAGGTGTCCCATCTAGTCAATAAACCATATAGTTGTCTTGTGTTTAAATACCCTACTTGTTTAGAAATGTCTTTTTTTTTCATGCACATGCCTATAATTCCAACATTTGGGAGGTTGAGGCAGGAGCATCACAAGTTTGAGGCCATCTTGGGCTACAAGGCACAACTATATAACAAAAAACAACCATTTTTTTTTCTCTCCATTCTAGACTATCAGGTTACTTAGATGTGTCATGTATTTCCTTCAATAAATATCTACTGAGCACCTACAATGTGCTGTGTACTGTACACAACAGGGTTCCCTGTGTCTTATTTCCCAGTGGCGCACACTTAATCCCAGCACCTGGAGGCAGAGGCAGGTGGATGTCTGTGAGATCAAGGCTAACTAGGGCGACAAGGAAACCCCTGCCTAAAACAACAACAAAAACAAAAGCAAAAACAAAATACGTGATTTTTCCCCCCTTTTTAAGAGATAGGATCTCATGTAGCCCAGGCTAGCCTTTACTGCTCCTCCTGGCCTCCACCTCTCCAGTGCTGGTTGTACTCATCGGGCCCAAGTGATTTTTCTTAGGCTTTTCTCCCAGCTCCACGTATCTGCTGAGTCTTTCTTTTATGCCTCTAGCACTTGGTGCTTTTTGGGGAGGCTTTTTGAGACAGGGTGTAGCCCCAGCTGTCCTGGAACTCACTATGTAGACGAGGCTGGCCTTGAGCTCACAGAGATCCGCCTGCCTCTGCCTCCTGAGTGCTGGTATTAAAGGTGTGGGCCACCTAGTACTTGTCTTTAAGAGACATTTCTTTTTCATAGGTGCTGGTATTCAAACTTCCAATTTGAAAATTCTTAGAAAATATACTAATACCAATTAAGTTCATAATAAATTTTATAAGACAATGCAGTGCTTTTCAAATTTTTGGAATAGTTTTCATGAAAAATAGAATGACAAGAACACAAATATTGAAATGATTGACTAAACCGAATTCTTAGAGAAAAGGACTCCTGAAATGGTTCAACTACCCCTGCCCAAAAACATAACATAATCACTTCTAGGATGTCTCTCACCCATCTACCCAGTCTCCTTAATGCTCCTAAGTTTAATACATTTCATCTCATAAAAATAACACAAACCATTCAAAATCATTTAAAACAAAGCAAAGAATAAAATGGAGACGGAAAGGCTGCATCCTGAAGGTAGCTTTGTAATATGCAGAACAAAGTCCTGGCTTCAAGTACACAGGCAGATTCTGTAGACCCACATTATTTGTAACCGAAGAGTTGCCATTGTATTCTGCAGAAATGAGCACACTAGGACAGCTGTGGTCATGCCTGTAACTCTACTACTGCCAAGGCTGAAGCTGGAGGATCATGAGTTTGGGGCCACCCTTAGCTGCATAATTAGAGTCTCAAAAAAAAAAAATCAGTTGTATTCATCCATGCGTGTTCATTAACTTCAGTGTACTTCATATAATTTTATACTTGGAATGAGGCTGAAACAAGGAAAAAAACTAGCACAGAGCTGTTAATAAAAAACTTTAAAATATTAATTATGAAATTTGATCCAGTGAAAACCAATCTTAAATGAACAAGTTTCTGATTGCATAAATAAGCCCTATTCTTTTTTTTTTTTTTTTTTTTTGCTTTTTTGAGACAGGGTCTCTCTGTAGGCCCAGCTGTTCTGGAACTCACTATGTAGACCAGGCTGGCCTTGAACTCACAGACAGCCGCCTGCCTCTGCCTCCCAAGTGCTGGGATTAAAGGCGTGCACCACCACGCCCGGCTTATTAAGCCCTATTCTTTACTAAAAATTTACACTACCAGAAGATCCTGATTAAAATCAAGAAATACAAAGAACTGAAATGGGCAGTAAATGATGGTTGGCTCAGCTCAGGGGTCCGCTGGCTTGACTGTAGCCACACACGTGCCTCTGGGCTCTCAGCGGAGGGTGACCAACTCTTCTGAAGAGGTGGGGTGAATGGCAACCGTGTTGTCGAAGTCAGCCTTGGTGGCTCCCATTTTCACTGCTACAGCAAAGCCCTGCAGCATTTCATCACAGCCAATTCCCTGCATGTGGATCCCAACCACCTGTGAGAAAAAAAGACACGGTGAATGCAAAATTCATTAGGTATACAGTCATAAAAGAAATATGACATCAAATACCATCGAGGCTCGGCTATAGCTCAGTAGTGGAGCACTTACCTAGCCTGTGTGAGGCCCTGGGCTCTACTCCCAGCACCACCAACAAAATAAAACACTCTTAAAAATCCAATTTCTAACCAGAACTCTGTGTAAGTAAACCTATGAGGCCCTGTAGTCCTGCTGCAGTGGCTCCCTCCAACCCATGTCAAGAGCTACCCTCACTCTGGTTTCCTTTTGTCCCATGTACTTCTCTTTGAACAGGATGTCTGTTTGATGATCCTCCCTCCCTCCTTTTTTTATTATGACAGGGTCTTGTGGGCCTCAAAGTCCTGATCCTCCTGACTCAGGCTCCTTAGTGCTGAGATCACAGATGGATACCACCATGCCTGGCTTTCCTCTCTTCAGGACTAAGGTCCCTTCATGATGCAGATAGCTACCCTTGTGCCTCCCTGATCCAGTTAACTCTGTCCTGGGATCTCAGTACCAATGGTCTGTCAAGGTTCTACCACAGTCACAATGTCATATTTTTCTGGGAGGGACTAGACAATTATAATTCAACTCCTGTCTGCTTTCTGGTTTCTGTGGGATTGAAGCATGAGCTTCAGTTATACACGGACTGGGGAACCCAATAGTCATAGAGATCCTGGTAAAATGTGAAGAGAAAAGCAGGGATCCTGCTGATGTAACTGACGTGGACATCTCATGCCTGAGATCAGTCAGGGCCAGAACAGACAGGCTTGTTCTGCTATCACGCACCCCTCTCCTCTGTTGCTCTGAGCCTCTACTTCTGCCAGTCCCAGGCGTTGAATACTGAATGCCACAGGCTGTCTTGTGGCTTTTGGTGTTGAAGGCCATTATATCAGATATTGACCTCACTGATTAAAGATAGAGGTTGAGTGAGGTGTGGTGGCATATGTCTTTAATCCCAACACTCAGGAGGCAGGAGGAGCTGTGAGATTCAGGCCAGTCTGGTCTACATAGCATGTTCCAGGCCAGCTGGGTCTACAGGGAGACCCGGTCTCAATACAAAATCAGAAGCTAAGGGACTAGAGCAATGGCCCAGTGGTTAAGAGCACTTGCTGCCCTTGCAGAGGACTCAGGTTCAGTTCCCAGCACATATAAGGCAGCTAATAGCCATCTATAACTTCCGTTCCAGGGGATCTGATGCCCTTTTCTGGCCTCTGTGGGCCCTGCATGCACACGGTATACTTACAAATATCTAGGCAAAACACTCATACACATAAAAACAAAAATAGAAGTTGAAAGCTATTAATATATCTAAATTTTAAAAACACATTGCTATCTATTTCATTTTCTGTTTGTGTGTGTATGAGAGAGAAGGTACATGCTGTGCGGTGGCAGGTATGTATAAGTCAGAGGACAACCCTTGCTATCTTGTGGAACTGGGGTAGTGAACTCTCATCATACCTGCACGCAAGTCCCTCTACCTGATGAGCCATCTCGGCAGCCCAGGGTATCTAAATCCTTACTTAAGAGCTAGGCATGTACTTTGAATTCCAGAACTTGGGAGGCTGAGGCAGATCAGGAATTCAAGGCTAGCCTGGTCTACACAGCAAGTTCCAGGCCAGCTGGGGCTACAGGGAGACCCTGTCTCAAAAAGACAAAAGAAAAAAGGAAAAATAAAAGCTTTCCATTATTAACCAGGATAGACTGAGAGCTCAGCAATGCTGGTAAATGGGGCCTGGAGGAATGCCTCAGCAGTTAAGAGCGCTTGCTGTTCTTGGAGAGGACTGGAATTATTAATCTTTGCAATGCTGAAGATCAAATCTAATTTTTAAAAAGGAACATAATCTTTCTAAATAAGTATTATGAAGCCTCCCCAAAATACATATAAAGAGATAAATTCCCCTGTACCTTTTCCTCTTTGTTGGCACAAACCATTTTCATCACACATTTTGTCTTCCTTGTGGTCACAGCATGATACAGTGGGGTAAAGGCAGTTGAGTAGATTTTCACATTGTCTTTTCCATATTTATGAATGGCTTCATCTATAATACACATTAAAAAAGCATCTATCAAAATCTGAGCTGTTCCACTGAACCATGAGAGGGAGATTGCCAGAAATACACAACCTGAGTCAAATCGTGAGGAAAAAGCCAACAATACCAAAATAAATGCTGATGTCACTCACATCAGACAAAGGGCAGGCTGAGGAATTTTGTCTCTAGATTAAATGAAATCACAGAGTTAAGAAAACTGCCTGCAAACAATTATCCTGGACTTAATTCTGGACTGGAGAGAAACATGTTCCAAATGACACTGGGATAGCTGGTCAAATTTACATAAAGTCTAAAGTTTAAATTACAACTGTATTTATTCAAGATTCCTCATCTTAAAACCATATCTGTATGGGAAAAGACTTGTTCTTAAGTAAAATATGATGTGTATCTGTGTATTTAGGGTAAGAAAATAATTACATTTTCTTTAAATATTGAGATTATTTAAATATAAAGCTGGGCAATGGTGTTGCACACCTTTACTCCCAGCACTTGGGAGGCAGAGGTGGGCAGATCTCTGTAAGATCAGAGCCAACCTGGTCTTCATAACAAGTTCCAGGCTTCCAGGCTACAGGGAGACCGTGTCTCAAAAAGACCAAAAAACAACAACAACAACAACAAAAAAACCCCAAACAACCTAAATGAGGGAGACAGAAGCACAGGCCACAGAACCTGTACTCTGGTGGCTTGAGAGCTGATGAGTGACTAAACAGAAAGGAATGCAACTAGGAGAGTGAGGGGATGTAAGTAGCCGAGCTGTTAGAGGCCTGGTTGGAAGAAGGAAACCATAAGTGACCTTCATTCTTGAATACCCACCTTCAGTGAGGCCCACTGTCCCAATAGGGGGGTGGCTGAAGACCACAGTAGGAATGTTCTCGTAGTCCAATTTGGAATCTTCTTTGCATTCAAAAAGTCTATGTGCAAGTTTTCGGCCAGCAGCTATTGCAACTGTGGAAAAGAGAGACACATTCACTCCAATCACCCAGAAACTGATGTTCTTACTGAGGACGTTAGCTTCCGGGCAGACTGTTGATAGAATAAGCCATAGTGGCTTTGCACCATTTCCTTTCTGGTTTTTTGAGACAGGGTCTCCGTGTAGCCCCAGCTGGCCTGAATGCCCTATGTAGACAGACTGGTCCCGAACTCAGAGATCTGCCTGCCTCTGCCTCTGGAGTGCCAGGACTACGCCCAGCTAGTTTTGCACCTTTTCATTTCTACTCCATATTTACGTCACAGATTTTTAATTTTTTTTTTTTTTTTTTGGTCTTTTTGAGACAGAGTCTCCCTGGAACTCACTATGCAGACCAGGCTGGACTTGAACTCACAGAGATCTGCCTGTCTCTGCCTCCCGAGTGTTGGGATTAAAGGTGTGAGCCACCACGCCCGGCACTAAGTTTTCTTTTTAAAAAAAGGTATAATTTGTTTTTATTTTATGTGTGAATGTTTTGCCTACATGTTTATAATTGCACCTCTTGTGTGGCTGGTGCCTGCAGAGCCCAGAAGAGGGCACTGGATCCCTTGGGACTGGAGTTAAGGATGGCTGTTAGCACCATGTGAGTGCTAGGAACTGAATCTGGATCCAAGTGCTTTTAACCACTGAGTCATCTCTCTAGCCTCACAGCAAGATTTTTTTTAACTAAAAAGTTTATTCTTTTTTTTTTTCATACAGAAGAATTCATTCCAAAGCAATTGACATTGAGACGTTTTCACATGCATTTCTGATCTCTATATACATGACTATCACTGGTCACAGTCGCCCACCTTCTGAGCTCCTCGGCATCTGAGCATGAATACAAACTCGTCAGATAGACAGCCTTCCTCTCCCACTAGAGGCTCCATACTCTGCCATCCCTGTCACTATCCACTGTGTTGTCAGCACC